GGCTGGATAAAATATTGCTCTACAGTTCATTTAATAGAGAATTTCTCACTCTATTGGTAAAGAAACTGTCGATTTTCTCGATTGCTTTGTCGCTTTTTTCCAATTGTTTCAGTTTGGATGGTAAAGTTTGTATACGGTGCTGATCGGCAGGTTAAGAGTTGTTTCTTTAATTTTTCTGTAAAAATGAGGAATGGCTAGAGGGCCCTGCCCTCCTCTATTTGATAGAAATATTATCGCTCTATTTCTGTTTTACCTTCAGATTTTCTCATCATCTCGATCATCTCATCGATTTTTGCAAATTGTTTAAATTTTGGATTTGTAGTCAGTGATAATCGAAAGGTTGAGAGTTTTTCAAAATTTATTATTCCAAGTTATTAAAATACTGCCGATTTTCTCCATAATTTCGTCATTTCTTCAATCAGCCTATTTGGAGTTTTTCAAAAATTAACGAGTCCAAATTAGCGCTGGCGAACAGGTTGCTCAATAAGGCATTTGATAGCGAACTCCTCGCTCTATTTGTCAATAGGCTGCCGATTTTGTTAAAAACTCGATTTTTTTCGATTATTTAATTTTGGAGAATGAAATGTGCATTCGAAAAACAAATTGGATTTTTCACATTTAAACCATCGCCAAAAATCGACGAAATTTGGTAGAAATTTGACGCTTCCATGCCTAATAGAGCGATTATAGCTCTACCAATTGCTCTGGAAAAACTGTTTCTACCTCGTCCTCATCTTGTCTGGTGATTTTTTGAAAAAATCCTGACCTGGCGATGGTAGCAGTAAAAAACCCACAGACAAATTTATACCATCGAAATTGTCAAAAAACCCGTAAAAAATATTTGGAAAATTTGCACTTACAGAAGTCATAGAACCAAGAAACTTTCCTCTACTTATTCCTGGTTTTGAGTGAAACTTTTTTTTTGGAGTGGAAAGGGTGGCAAATAAATGGTGTCTATCTCATTTGAGAAATCGCCAAAAATTTACTTAAATTGCATGAACATTCACATTCATATAGTTGACGGAGAAAAGCTTTCTCTATCAAACTAATCAACTGGAAAAACTCGACAAAGTTTTTGGCAAAATTCGCAGTATCTTTACAAATAGAGCGGGAAGTTCTTCTCTATCAAGAATCAACTATAGAGCAACCTTTTAGCCAGTGCTAAATTGGATTTTCCAAAAATTCTTCAGTGAAAATAAAAAATAAGTGGCTGATCGCTTTATAATGAATTTGATTTGGTTACTGCCGATTTTCTCCTTAATTTTGTTTGTATTCGCTGACCATCGGCAGGTCAAGAGCTTTTCAAAAATTCACCCGTCAAACTTAGGGCTGGATAAAATATTACCCTACAGTTCATTTAATAGAGAATTTCTCACTCTATTGGTAAAGAAACTGTCGATTTTCTGGATTGCTTTGTCGCTTTTTTCCAATTGTTTCAGTTTGGATGGGAAAGTTTGTATACGGTGCTGAGCGGCACGTTAAGAGTTTTTTCTTTAATTTTTATGTAAAAAATGAGGGATCGTTAAAGGGCCCTGCCCTCCTCTATTTGATAGAAATATTATCGCTCTATTTCTGTTTTGCCTTCAGATTTTCTCAATCATCTCATCGATTTTTGCAAATTGTTTAAATTTTGGATGGCGCAATTTGTAGTCAGTGATAATCGAAAGGTTGAGAGTTTTTCAAAATTTATTATTCAAAGTTATTAAAATACTACCGATTTTCTCCATAATTTCGTCATTTCTTCAATCAGCCCATTTGGAGTTTTTCAAAAATTAACGAGTCCAAATTAGCGCTGGCGAAAAGGTTGCTCTATAACGCATTTGATAGCGAACTCCTCGCTCTATTTGGCAATAGGCTGTCGATTTTGTTAAAAACTTTGTCGATTTTTTTCGATTATTTAATTTTGGAGAGTGGAATTTGCATTCGAAAAACAAATTGGATTTTTCACATTTAAACCATCGCCAAAAATCGACGAAATTTGCTAGAAATTTGACGCTTCCATGCCTAATAGAGCGATTATAGCTCTACTAATTGCTCTGGAAAAACCATTTCTACCTGAGCTGGCGATGGTAGCAGCAAAAAACCCACAGACAAATTTAAACCATCGAAATTGTCAAAAAACCCGTAAAAAATATTTGGAAAATTTGCACTTACAGAAGTCGTAGAACCAATAAACTTTCCTCTRCTTATTCCTGGTTTTGAGTGGAACTTTGWTTTTGGGGTGAAAAGGGTGGCAAMTAAATGGTGTCKYTCACATTTGAGAAACCGCCAAAMWTTTACTCAAACTGCACGAAAATTCRCATTCATATAGTTGWTGGAGKAAAGCTYSCTCTATCAAAYTAAGCAACTGGAAAAACTCKATAAACTTTGTGACAAAATCGGCAGTCTCTTTATAAATAKAGCGAGAAGTTCTTCYCTATCAAGAATCAACTATAGAGCAACCTTTCAGCCAGTGCTAAATTGGATTTTCGAAAAATTCTTCAGTGAAAATAAAATGGGTGGATGATCGCTTTATAAGCAATTTGATGGGCAAGTCGTCACTCTCTTTCTTCGGCAGCGTTCGATTTTCTTTTCCATTTCGGCAATTTTTGGCAATTGCTTAAGTTTCAATGGATTAACTTGCTTTCAGTGACTATGGGGATGTAGATGTTTTTCAAAAATTCCCAGCTAAAATTAGGGCAAGCTGGAGGGCTGCTTACTAGGGCATTCAATAGAGCAGTTCCGGCTCTTTGATTTCGATAGGAATCCTGGATTTTTCGCAAATTGTTCAGTAGGAAAGTTGCCAATGTTTTTGCCATACAGAATGGACGATAGGTGGCAAAACCCTTCTAGACTATAAAAAATCGCGATTTTTGTCTGATTGATCCCGCCTATCTTAGTTGATCGAATGGACCAGCCATAGGCAAAAACGTCCACAAATGMGCATGCTCTTGAAAGCACAGGAAAGTKTACACTCAATTTCTAAACTTCCGATTTCAATGATAAAAATTGGCGAAATTTGTTATTCAAACATAAMGAAACGTCCTTACGTGCTTCATAGCCTATCCAGTGCTCAGCCAAAGAGTATGAGAAACCGTCGGGTGCAGAAGTAACGCCAGCCAAAGCTTTAATCACTTGATAAGCAGTCATTCCTCGATTGATAGTCAATGGATAGGACTTCTCAATTTCCAGATCAAGGCGACGAGCGAAGTAAAACCTGACGTTGACCTGGAAAGCGACCAATCGGCTCAATCAACCAAGTTGGAAAACTGTGGCAGAACTTACGCTCTCTGGTTGTCCTTCAGCGGCTTTTGCTGCCAAATCTACAGGCGCAACTTCCTTTTGCTCGGCCGCTTTGGCTCGTTCTTCTGCGAGTCGTTTTTCTTCGCATACGGTGCATATTACATTGAAACGCATGCATCGATGCACTAAACATTTAATGTAGATTAAGGTGAGGAAGGAAGGGCGCTTGATTGCTTCTACTTACACATACAAGAGGCTAAAACAATAAAAAATTAAGTGTTAGTTAATTGGCCAGATGATTCGCATTGAAAGGTTAACCTAATTAATCCCCCAACTGTAGTAAACACATGATTAAACATCGGTTTTCGAAAAATGTCCGCATTATTCTTTAATCAAAATTAATTCCTGGGTTTCAGTCATTTATTGTCTTTATTTATCAATTAAAATACGTTTCGGTGTATTTTTCCACCATCATCAGTTTTTCTAAAATAACATAGTTGAAAAAAATTCATTAATTTAAAAAACAATCACAGTCCGTCAACAGCCTCATCATATCACACATTAAAATACATCACAATTGCAACACTTTAAAACATTCTAAAATTAATTAGGCCTAACAGGTGATTAGTCAGGACAATCAAATTTGGGAAGCGACTAGAATTCTTTGTTCAGATACTTAAATATTTTAACTTATACGTGTAGCGTTGTTGCTGCTTTAAGCCTTGGCAAACATTTGGAGTATTAATTTTGTCCATGTTGGACACAAAGCGAATAAAATATTGTTTATATTGATTTCTTTTACTTTCAGCTATTTTTCTTCGAATTCTGAGAATATTATTTTTGGTTTGCAAGGTTCTCCAATATACCGGGTGTTAGTTAATATTCTATGTTTATTTCACTTAATTAATGTATGATATACTCAGCTAAGATTGTCGGTATCCGACCTGAAATTCATAGCATTGTTATGTTTTTTAATCTGTATCATTTCATGGACTCCTCTTAATATAATTACTCTCGTTAATCAGTATTTTTGTGTTATCAAAATCAAAATTATGCAACTTCTGTTGTGCATGCTAATTTTGTGAACGGACACAATCAAACAAAATATGTGAAAGTCTTGGACGTATTCTATATGCAATGTTTAACTATAATACTGAGCGATTGTTGTTCCAAACTGAATAAAATTGACAAAGACATTAATAATGTTAAAATATCGTCACAACAAAAAACATACCATCAAAATAAAATAAAAGTGTTTTATGAACAACAAGAACAAAAATATGAAACTGTGTTCAACAAGATTAAAGCAAAACAAAAAAATAAACTAG